GGGGGGGGGGGGTGTCGCGCCGAGGCTGCCAGACGCTAAGGCTGTGAAGAACCACCCGTCGGAGATCGCGTCGAGATCGTGAGCAATCTGCTCCGCCGAGCGGCGGAGCGAGCCGTGCGTGAAGGCCGCGGCGATGAGCACGCACAGGGCGGCGAGCGCGCGCGCCGTGAGACGCGGCCCGAACTTGATGTGCGAGAGGGCTAGCCCGCTCGTCCCGACCGTCACCGTGGCCACGGCCGGGTTGACTTCCTCGCGGTAGAGCCGCACCTAGGCGAGCACGAGCGGGTGGGCATGAGCAGGGGTGGCAGCGGCACGGAAGCGGAGGCGAGAGCGGCGGCGGTGACGGCGGAGGCGTGGGCGGCGGCGGCGAGGGCAGCGAGGGAGGCAGCGGAGGGGGCGGTGGGCGAGGACGGAGGGGGCGAGGGTTGTGATGGCGAGGACCTGAATCGCGAGGGCGGCGAGGGCGGCGAGGGCGGCGAGCCAGATCTGGCCGCGCCCCGACTGGACGAGCCGCGCCGCGCCGCTCGCCCCGCCGCGGGCAGCGGCGAGGAGGGCGCGCGAGAGGGCGCGCGCCCCGCCCGCAGCGCCGCCGCCTCCAGCGCTCGTGCGCGCGGCCGCGGGAGGCGGCGGCTCGGGCGGCGACGGGAGCGGCGAAGGCGGCCACGCCGCACCGCCCGGAGGTGGCGGCCACGCCGCACCGCCCGGAGGTGGCGGCCACGCCGCTGCGCCCGGAGGTGGCGGCCACGCGGCGACGAGCGGACCGTGCTCGAGGGGGACGACCGCGACGGCGAGGGGCGGCGAGCGCGGCGGCGACGACGACGACGACGACGAGTGGGCGGGAGTCGAGTCAGAGGCGCGCGCGCTGCCGCAGTGGGGCATCGCCCCCTCTGGGGGTGGCGGCGCCGGGGCGGGAGCGAGCGGCGCCGGCGCGGGAGCGAGTGCGCGCCGCATCTCGTCGATGACCACCTTCATCGGCCACGACAGCGCCGCATCCCCTCCCGCCACCGCTCCATCCCCTCCTGCCGCCGCACAGTCACTCGGCGGACGCGGCGGTGCGAGAGGACGCGCCGGCACACCAATCGCTCTCGCCGCCCACGGGTGCGCGCTCCCCAGCAGCTGCCCCTCCCGGCGCGCGCTCGTGAGCTCCCGGAGGATGGCCACTTTGTGCGCGAGGAGCGCATCCTCTGCCGCGAGCGGCGGGAGGACGCACTGCGTCAGAGGGTAGCCTGCAGGGAGGCCTGCAAGGAGCGGCTGCGCGGGAAAGGGCTCGCTCGGGCCGCCGCGCTCAAGGTCCAAGAGCGGCGGCAATGAGTTGGCCGGCGGAACGGACATGTTCGTGCACTTGCGCGAGAGGCAAATCTTCTTTCGGAGGCCCTTCCCACCGAACTCGACCTTGTCGAGGCACTCCCTGCAATGGCCACAGTTCTGCTTGAGCAAGCAGGCCGCGCACTTTTGACAGTGCGCCCTGCGGTTACTGATAGTCGAGGCTGAACGCTTGACCATCTCGCCTGGCCGGCTCGCCCTCGCGTTGCACGCCCCGCAGGGGGAGACGGGAATGAAAGCTCCGGTGAGGGAGCGAGCAGTTTTTCTTTCTTGTGTGGTCTCCGCTTTCTCTTTCATCCCTTGCATTCTCATACGGGCACGAACGGTTTTTTAAATCTCGGGGCATCTCGGCACCTCGCCGATTGGCCTTGGCCGAGGCCAGCCTTGTCAACAACCCGCCGCCGTCAGGCCTTGGGACGTGGGACGCTGGTTTTTGTATATGGGGCTGACTCGCATACTCGCTGCCTTCGCCGCCGCAACGACGCCGCCGCTCGTCCTCCTGTTCTGGTACGAGAGTCAATCAGAGGGCTCGTCGCCGCCGCCGCTTCCGTCGCCGCCCTCTCCGCCGCCGCCGCTTCCGTCGCCAATGCCACCGCCGCAGCGCCTGCACCGCCAGGAGCAGCGCCGCCCGTCCATCCCACGACCGACTCTCGAGTTTTGCGCTCGCCCGCTCGCCCGTCTCGAAGACGGCTTGGGTCGACGCCTCTCTGAACCCTGGTCAGCCGAGCTGACCGCTGCTGTGGCAACAGTCGCCGTCGGGGAGGAGTCCTCGGAGCTTGCGAGCATGCTGCGCCAGTCGCTCCGCACCGCAGGCAAGTGGGGAGGAGCCTTCCGAGTGCAGAACGAGTCGAACTCCCGGCCTTTCGATTTGGTCCGTGGGAAGTTCCGCTTCGCGCTGTTGAAGGCCGACGCGATGCGCGAGTCCTTCAAGGCCAATTTCAAGCGCGTCCTTTTCATGGACGCCGACTTCCTCGTCACTCGCAGTCTCCGCGGCTCTCCCATCGCACCGCTGCTCGACCCGAGCTCCGGCGCGTGGGACCCTCGCTGCGATATCTACGTGCAGAGGGCCTCCTCGCGACGGAATTCGCTCAACACCGGCCTCATGATCACGGTGATGGCGGACTGCAGCTCGTCGCCGGCTGCGAGTGGCGTCTCCTCACACCTCCGCCTGTGAACAGGACCGCTTCAAGTCGCGCTCGGTGCTCGGAGATTGGGAGCGCGCCATGCGGACAGGGAGGTTCAACGACGAGCTGATGGACCAGGACGCCTTCGACTTCATCACCGGCGTGAAGCGCTTCCGGAACAGCACAAAGTGGGGCAGGCCTTCTGAGCTAGATTGCTCCTCCCTCCCTCTCCCTCGTCCACACCCTAGTCCTCTCCCGAGCCCTGAGCGTGCCCTGGCCTCCGAGCACAGGCACAGCATCTGCTACTTGCCCAACGACGTCCGGTACGTGGTCGACGACTGGCGTCTCGACGCCGAGCGGCTGGTCCCCGCCCTCCTCATGCAGCAGCTGGCGTGCACCTTCTACCACTTCAAGGCGTCGCCTCCCAAATCGCCGAGCGCGTTGACCGGCAAGCAGCTCATGCGTGACGCGTGCGAGCGGGCGGTCTGGCCGTGCGAGGCACGCCCTGGCCACGGCACCCAGGCGGTGCAAAAGGCGCAGGCGGAGGCCAGGGCGGCGCGGGATGGTGCGAGGTCAGCGCTGGAAGCGGCCAAGGCTGCGCTGGGCAGGGCCGAATCGCAGCTCGCGGACAGCGAGGCGGCGCTCGTGGTGGCGACGGCCGCCGCAGAGGCGAGGCTCTCTGCTGCGGCCGCTGCCAGGGCCACCGCGGCCGCTTCGCACCTTTGGGGCGGGCTCGTGCTCACGGCCTGGTGCGTTGCCGCCGTCATCCTCCTCTGCGCAGCCGCAGCGGGCCGCCGGACGCTCTATGCCGAGTCCTCGCCGCCGCTGACCTCGCCCAAGATTCGGCGCGTGTCCACCGAGTGGATGCAGCCCTTGGATGCCGTGGAGTTCGACCCGGCCTCGAGCGCGCGCGTGCTGGTCGAACAGACTGCGGCGGGCACGCAACACGCGATCGACACGCCCACGAGCACGCCCAGCACGAGTTCAGAGGGCCCCGGTCACAGCCGCGGGCCGAGCGATGAGCTGCAGCTACCGGGCGCAGCAGGCGGGCACCGCCGCAAGGGCTCCCAGGGAGATATGATGAGCTGGAGCTGCGTGCCGAGCAGCAGCAGATCGCACAGCCGCGGGCCGTGCGGAGACGTCCTCACTGTGCACGGGGGGGGCGTCAGCCCAGCTGGCGACAGCAGCCGGGAACACAGCCGCGGGCCGAGCGACGAGCTTCTGCCAGCCAGACACCGCCGCAAGAACTCGGCGGGCTCGGGCGCGTCCTCTGAATGGCTGCAGGAGCTGCGAGGCGCACACGTTCACCGTCATAGCCGCAGGAACTCCCGAGACTTGGGCGCGCCCGTGGCTGCTGAATGGCTGCAGCCCCTGAAGGAGATGCTCGAGCATGATGACCTAGTCCAGCCAGGCGAGAACTACCGGCGTGCGATCGAGAGTACGTAGGCCGTAGGACGTCTCTGCCCGCAGAGTGACAGCGAGTTTCTCGCGTCACACTAGTTGCCTCATATTTGTTGTGTAGATCGGCGTGTCCCGCCGCCGATCCGTAAAGATAAATCCTTAACCGGAATAGGAATAGCCACCCCCACACCAGCACCACAATGGGACACTGCACACAGCCTCTCAGCCAGCATGCTAGCAGCTACAACTTGTAGGGAGCGAGCAAAACAACGCCAGCGACGAGCGAGGCAGACAGAACAGTACCTACAGCAGATCGAGCCGGACTGTGGCGCCTGTTGGAGATCTTTGAGCACTTGGAGTGCCGCCCTTTGGAGCACTTGGAGTGCAGTCCGCCCGCTGGAGCGCACTTGGAAGGAAGAATTCTTAAAACACAAGCCTCTCTCACAGCACACTGGCGCGACAAGGGCGCGGACTGGCGCGGACTGGCACACACCCCGGCTCACCACCGGAGCCGCCTAAATGAGGGTGCACGGCGAACCAGTTTAGACCATGTTTAGACCCAGTTTAGACCACGGCTGAACACGAACCAGATTAGTCCTGTTTACGATAAACTGGGTCTAAACAGGGGTCGGCCTGGGTGGGGGACCCTATTACACATACCAGGTTTAGCCCGGTTTAGGGCGCCCCTGGGAGCTGGGAGCTCCGCCGCCGCGGCCGCGCTGGCTGCGGAAGCGGCAGCGTGCCAGCCGCCATCCTCTGCCTCGGGCCGGACAGCACACCGGGCACACTTGCACCGCGCAACAACAGCCTCGCCGGTCAGGCGCACGGTGTCGTCGGGCAGCGTGATGATCTCGTCCATGCCGTCGTCGAAGTGCATCAGCAGCCGGTCGTGCTCGCTATTGGTCGGCCAATGGGCGACGATGGTGGCGGGGAACCAGTCCGTGTTACGACGCGGAGCCACGCAGCTTTTCACGAGAGAGCCGAAAAAGGCGGCTACCGAGGAAAAGCAAACTAAAAAAAACTGGCATTCAGGAAGGTTCAGGACATTCAGGACGGGTCGAGGACACAGCCACTGCCGAAAGCATGGCACGCGAAATGGAGCTCCATCGCGCCGGCGGCACCTTCATCGGTGTGTGCAATCGCGCACCGTCCCTGCAAGCGTACCGTGATACCTGCACACCGGCACACCTTCAAAGTTGCACACCTGCACTGCACGCGCACAACCGTCACCTACTCAGCACACCGGCACACGCGCCATCCACCCTCGCCGTGCTGCGCAGGCCGCATCGACATCGACCCTTCGGCAGCGCTCGCTGCCAATCACGAGACGACACACAACAAGAAGGCGGCGCAGAAGGCGACGCAGTGGGCACTGATTCTCGACAACTCGGCGTCCATGGGCCAGTGGTCGGCGCGCGTGGTGCAGCACGTCTTCCCGGCCCTGCTTCGCCGGCTCGGCGTCTCGGACAACGACAAGCTGCTCCTGATTCTCTTCGCCAGCACGGCGGAGGTCTTCGATATCCGCGCGTGCGAGCTGCCGCACTTCAAGCTGCCGCGGCAGGGCTCGACGCAGATGCGCGACGTCTTCGCACACCTGCCGGCGCGGCTCACTCCTGGCCGCCGCACCAACATCCTGGTCGTGTCCGATGGTGCGGTGCACGATCAGGAGGCGTCCGTGGCAGCCGCCTCGGCCATCGCGGCGCAGCTCACGGCGCTCATGCCCATTGTGACCGCTGCCGCGGTGCGGCTGATCACGTCGGCTCGCGCCGAGCCCGACACTCGCGCCCTCGCCGCGTGGCTGCAGTTCAACACTGCAGCTGGCGAGCGCTCCGCAATCGCCGACCTCGACGTGCACCACTTGCCCGACCTCGACGGCGTGGTCGACGGCGTGGTCGACGGCATGGCCTCGCTCTTCGACGGCGCGGCGACGGCCTCCGCGTTCACGCTCACCACCGATCCGCCGGCCATCCACGTGCAGCCGTGGGACGCGACGGCGGTCGGCACGACCTACCTCAAGCCCGGCCCCAACGCCATCTTCCTCGCCGCGCAGCCCGACACGGTCCTGCTCAACGGCGAGCGAGTGCGAGTGACGCTGGCGCCGGAGCCCGTCACCACCGACACGCTGGCCGCGCTGGTGGGCGACCGCGTGGACGCCTTCCTCGCAAAGCTGCGCGTCCTCAAGGTGATCGCGAGCGAGCAGGCGACGGAGGAGATGCAGCGCATCGTCGCCTTCTGGCAGGGCTTCGAGGCCGCCCTCGCCCCGCCGGCCGACTTTGCGCCCCTGCTCGCCGAGGGCGGCCTGCGGTCGCGCCGCCAGTACCTGCTCGCCGCGACGCAGCGCAAGCTCAAGTCGATCACGAACGCAATGCGGGCCGTCGCCAACGACGACCGCGTCGCGCGCCTCAACGCGTCGCAGCAGGCGGACTACCTGCGCACGACGCAGGTGGGCTCGAAGAATGGGCGCGGCCTCGCCAAGCGCGCGGAGGCGGCGGGCCTCGACTTCGACCGCACGGTGCGCGACGAGATCCGGGCGATGGCTGCGCACCTGCACGAGCTCGAGGGCGTGGACGACTCGCAGTGGTCCGTCTCCTTCTTCTCGCAGGCGACGACGCTCGACGGCGTGCGCGAGGTGTGCGCCCTCGCCTCCGCCGACGCCTTCGACTCCCTCCTCGCCATCGAGCTGCTCGAGCTGCTCAACCTGGTCGGCGTCTGCGTGGCCGCACCCGTCGGCGACTTCCCCGATCCGATGACGTACCGCGTCGACGCGCTGCTGCCGGGCGCGTGCGTCTCGGTGGCGGATCTCACCGTGGCGGAGAAGGGCCGCGGCGGGCGGCTGCTCCACCCGACTTCCCGCCAGCCGATTGCCAACGCCGTCCCGCTGTTTGAGGACGTGCGCCTCCAGCGCTTCCTGCAGCGGCACGCGCCGTCGACGCTTGAGTGCATCGCGTCGGTTGGCATGCGGCGCATGATCTGCGAGGTGCCGAAGACGCTTCCGTACACCATGTGCGCGGCGATCTGGCAGCTGGTCGGCGCGATGGACGCCGATCGCTCCCAGCTGCACGTCGAGCTGCTCGCCACGCTGGCACCCTCGTACGAGCTGTCGCTCAAGGACAAGGAGGGCACCGGCTACTTTGACTACCTGATGCCCCTGCTGGTGCGGCCGCGCCACCCAGAGGAGAAGGAGTTCTTCCTGAATTTCAACGGCATCACCAACTGCATCCAGCCGCTCTGGCGCCTCGCGTGCGAGGGCGAGCACCGCACGCTACCGCGCATCCTGCGCGCGCTCTACTCCTTCGAGGTGCTCCCTGCCCGCGCACCCTGCACCCCCCCCCCCCCCCCTGCCGCCACCCGCACACCCCTTCGCCAGCTCCCCCTCCCCGCTACGCACACACACCATCCGCCCTCCCCCCGCCCCGCTCCCGCCCCCCCACCCATCCCCGCCCGCACCCTGCCCCCCTCCCCCCCTCAGATCTACCAGGTCGTGCGCCGCAAGTGCAAGAACCAGCCAGAGGGCTACGCGATGGATACGCTGCGCCAGCTTCTCGGCGTCGACCTTGCGGCGCGGGGCACGCCGCTGCCCGCGCCCTTCACCCGCCCCGCCGAGCTGCGCCACTGCGAGGCGCGTTTCGTCGACGAGGCGCTCTTTGGCGAGCTGAAGCGCGACCTGTCCTTTGTGCACGCGTGCACGCTGATCGTGCCGCTCTTCTCTGCAGTACGACAGCCCGACCCGGCGGCCGCGGCGCGCGCCGTCCCTCCCGTGTCGGACGCGTCCGTGTGCGCGGCGCTGGCGCTCGACTACGACCTGGACACGTTTCTGCTCTACAACCTCGTGCACGCCCTCCTCTTCCGCTCGAAGCAGGAGCGCATCGACCGGGAGACCGGGGAGCCGCTGCTCCCTGATCTTGGCGCGAACGGGGGCGCCGCGGGCGCGGAGGCGTGCGCCCGATTCCTCGAGGCGCAGTACGCGGCGGACTACCACCGCCGCCTCGGCGTGCTGGCTGGCCAGGAGCTGCGCACGCTGCAGGAGGAGCACCTGGCAGACCTGCTCGCGGCGCCGACGGCCGACTTGTTCAACGGCCTGCTCAAGGCCGGCCTCGAGCGCGGCCCGATCGCGTTCAAGATCGCCAACTCGAACTCTGCCGGCGCATCCGAGCTGCGCGCCGCGCTCCTCAGCGCGGATGTGCCGGTGCCCGCGCGCGGCCAAAAGCTCTGGACCTTGCTGTCGGGCACCGACCGGTCCGGCGCGCCCGTCTGGAACGGCGGCAACATGCTGCGCACGCCGCTCGCCCCGCTGCGAGAGGCGCTGATCGGGCTCGGCAAGCACCGCCTGCTCGCCGCGCTCGAGAAGGCGTACAAGACGCGCCGCGCGCACGTGTACCGCGCCGGCGCCGAGCTCCCAAACCGACAGGGCCACTCCAACGACAAGCCGTCCTACTTCGCGTTTGGCCACGCGTCGCTCGAGTCGTTTGCGCGATCTGTCGACGCGGCGGGCTGGGCAGAGTACGAGCGCGAGCACTGCGGCTGCTGCGGCGTGGCGCGGCTTGCGCGCGCGCTCGCGGCTGAGCGGCTCCGCTGCCAGCCGGTGGAGGTGTCCGGCGCCGCATGAACGTGAGTAGCTTGTGTGGTGTGTTTGAAGCTGGTTTGAAGACTGCGCTGCTGGTAGGAAGGGCTCTGTGTACACAGCATTCAGAGGATCAGAGCAAATACCATCGTGCATCGGCTCCCATCCTCGTCCTCCCACACGGCTTCGACGCGCTGCCTCACTCCCGACGTACCGCGCGAAAGATGAGGGGACGCGCGGCGGCTTCTGCAAGCAGATCTTCGACACGGCGAAGCTGTCGGGGAAGAGTCCCTCGACGCGGCCGCATATGGACCCTCGAGACGGTCAAGATTGCCATGCACAACCTCGACCAGCGCGAGAAGGGGCACGGACGCTGACGCTTGCGCGTGCCGCTGAGAGCCGCGTCTCTCTCGTCACAGAGGGGAGCTGGGGCGGGGGGGAGGTGCGCGCGGCGGGGGGGGGGAGGGGGGGGCATTACACATACCAGGTTTAGACCCAGTTTATCGTAAACAGGACTAATCTGGTTCGTGTTTAGCAGTGGTCTAAACTGGTCTAAACTGGTTGGTTTCTCACCCCCTTTTTTGGTTCCGTTTTTCAAGAAAGCTCGAAATGGACGCAGGCGACGATTGGCTGGACCCGAGCGCGCCTGACGCCGGCGAGCGGCGCGGCGTCGCCCTCGAGCGCGAGTTCCGGACGCTCGGCTTTCGCGAGGGCATGGCTGCCGAGTATGAGCAGACGCTGCAGGCCGGCTTTGACGCCGGCTTTGGCGAGGGCTACGCGGCCGGGTGGGAGGAGGCGCGCGTGCTCGGGGCGGCGTCTGCGCTCATCGACGTCCTCGCGCCGGCTGTCGGCCGGGCGGGCGAGCCTGAACGCAACGGCTCGCGGGCGCCGCCGCCTGTGCGGCTGCGGGTCTGCGATGCTGCTGCGGCGGAGGCCGCCGTGCGGACGCTGCGCGCGCTGTGCGTCCGCATTGAGGCCCGTCTCGCCCACGAGCGGAGTGAGCCGGCCGCAGACTCGCCACGCCGCGGCGATTCCGCCGCCGCCGCCGCCGAGAGGGCGGAGCTGGCAGAGGTGCTGCGCGCCGTGGGCGTGGGCGAGGCGGCGTGGCCGGAGTGCGTGCGCGAGAGGACTACCAGTGGTGAGTGAGGCGCCCCTCCGAGGGTGCCCAATTTCTGTCGCTGCTACATTTTGGGCTGGCCGTTGATGTCGGCTGCACTTGCAAGCACGGATCACCGCCGGTCTATATTGCGTAAAGCCATATTGGTATTCTTTTGGGGTGCGCGGGCGGTTTTCTGAGCCCTGGCTGTCAGGGCTCAGGCTGTCAGGTGCTGTCAGGTGATCTGTCGGTCTGTCGGGCAGCTGTCAGGCACTGTCAGGTGCCTCTGTCAGACCAGCTGTCAGGTGCTGTCAGTGCTGTCGGGTGCTGTCGGGTGCGTGTCTGACAGGCGAGGGGATCTGTAGCTGTCGGGTGCTGTCGGAGCTGTCGGGTGTTGCTGTCAGACGCTGTCGGAGCTGTCAGAGCTGTCAGGCTGCTGCTGCTGTCAGACGTTGGGCTGTTGCTGTCAGGTGCTGTCAGGTGGTGCTGTCGGGGTGCTGTCAGGCTCTGACACACACCAGCCACACTTATGACACTATCAATAGGAGACCAGCAGGACTCTACTACACATACTCTAGCTTCTACTCTGCCTCCGGTCCCACCATCTTTTTCATGGTGGACGTCACATCTTCTTGTCTGCCGCACTGAGGGAATAGCAGAGAGGCAGGGTGGAGTGCTTCTTCAGGTACACCTTGCTGATGATCTGGTAGTTGCTGGTCCAGCGGAAGGCCTCCCCATTGTTGTCGCTCGTCAGCTTGTAGTACTTGCACGCTCTGTTCTGGTGACTCGGCTTCCTACCTCTCCTTTGCAGCGCCCAACGAGTCTGTGGAGAAGGTGCGTGGGCGCCACACTCCTCTTCATCACCCTCCCGCCCACACCCACTGGCTTCCCTCTCGCAGGGGGTGAAGAAGCTCGACCGCCACTTCGGCTACTACCAATGCTCCTTGTGCGGCAAGAAGAAGGGCGCGCTCTACGGGGAGACTGGCGCGATCGGCTCGAACTGCTCCAACGTGCTGCGCCACACTGCCGGCGAGTCGCACCTCCGCGCGTGGCTCGCCGACCTGCCGGTGGAAGCGGAGAAGCCGACGCTGGCCGAGCTGCAAACGTGCGTTCTCCTCGTCGTGTGTCCATCAATACCCGCACGCGGGGCACTCACCCTCCTCTCGCGGCGGTCGCAGGTCGTGTCGATCGCGCACAAGTGGCTCGGCAGCGCCCGCTTACAGCGCACCACGCAGACCAAGGTGCGGGGGCAGCACAAGGCGCAGAAGATTGCGACCAACGCGGCGGTCGACGCCGCCGTGGCCGCTGGCCGGGCGGCGGCGGGGGCGCTGACGCCGATGACGCCGGCGGCTACGCAGCTGCCCCCCTCCTACGGCGTGATCACGCCGGCAGGGGCGGCCGCCTGGGGAGCGCAGATGGCGGCGCAGGCGGCGGCGGCGGCGGCGGCACAGACGGCGGCGGCCACCCCCACCCAGACGCCGTAGGCATTGACTGTAGGGCACCAGAAGGCTAGCTGGTAGCTAGTAGCACAGCCGCCGGTGCTAGAGAGGGGTCCGCAGAGGTGGCGGGCGGGAGGGTTGAGAGAGAGACCCATGACCATCCCATGACTACATGGACATGGACCACACTCACATGTCTTTGCATGTAATTTTGTTATACCCTCATGGGGCACAAGAAAGAGGCTCTACGGGGTCTGTGTACGGTCTGTGCTGCTGTCGGGCTGTCAGCGCTGCTGTCAGGCCACTGTGTGCTGTCCGGCTGTCAGGCAACTGTCAGGCTGTCACGTTAGGGCCTGACAGCGACGGGACCCCTCGCCTGTCAGACTCTGCTGTCAGGCTGTCAGACACGTGCTGTCAGACTGTCAGAGAAAGTGCTGTCAGCGCTGTCAGGCTGTCGGGCACTGTCAGGCGCTGTCCGGGGTATGCTGTCAGGCTGTCAGACCAGGGCTCAGGCGGTTTTCAAAAGGACAAAACAACCCTTTCCGCTTTCGTCTAGAGGAGGGGGGGGGGTACAAGACTGACCTCGCAGAACCCCATGCGGGACGGGGGGGGTGCGATGAAGTGAATGAAATCGATCTCTGGACGCCCCTCATCAAGACCTCCTCGCCGGGCGTTGCCGTTGGCAACGCCTGTACGCCTCGAGTGGCGGCACGCGCCACGCCCGCCTCCGTTGGCCACTCCTACGCCTTCGGCAACACCGAAGAGAAGGCCCGCCGCCTAAACATGGGCTGCAAGGCGCGCGGGCAGCCCGGCCAACCCTTCTCCCACAAGACCGGCCACGGCTACGTCAAAGGCGCATCGCGGTTTCTACCCACGACGCGATCTTTGTCAAGCGCAACAACTTCAACCTGCTGCTCCACGAGACGTTCGGCGGCGGCTTCTCGCCCACCGCCGTTCTCAAGCTGCGCCGCCTCGCGCGCAAAGTCGCGCGCGGCAGCGTTGACCGCACGGCCTACTCGCCCAAGTACTCGCTCTCTTTTATGTCCCACCATGCAGAGCGCATCTCTCTCTCTGTTGTGCGAGGCGTGAACCGCGCCATTCGCTCTCACCTGGCAACCCTGTCTGCACGTCTCTCGCGCTCGTGAACAGGCCTCCAACCCCAAATGACATCCTCGGGACCGTTTTTGTTTTGTGGTGTGTGGTGTGACCCATGAACTGGGCCAGGTGTGAAGCTCGTCAACTCGCACGGACTCCATGTACCATGAGCAGGCGACACACCGAGCTCCGTACCGAGGCCGATCACCAATATAGCCGCAGGCCCCCCACACACGCTGTGCGGTCACCCTCCGCAGGCCTACCCACGCGCCACGGCGCACGGGCACGGCCGCGGCTCAAATTCTGTTTTGAGTACACCTTGGTGAAAAAGAAAGAAAACAGACACACCAAACGAGGGATGGGAGGAGGACAAGGTCCCCACCTGCACGAGCAGGGGATCTTGGAACATGGAAGGACGATCAGGGACACAGGCGTGTCACAGGGGAACGGGAGTGGGGAGCGCATCGCGACACGGAGGGGGGCTGGGCAGGGTTCACCCACACGACAGTGTCCCAGGGATTCCTCTCTCGTATAGGACGGGTTGCACCCGCCCGGCGGCACGGGGGCAGGCGCGGGCCTCCTACTGGTTGCGCTCTCCTAGACCTAGTTCTCCTGCTCCTGACAAGGGACAGCGACAGGTTCGCAGCACGGTGGACTCCCTATTCCAACTGGCGATCTCTCTCGACTAGCGACCTTCCTCAGGCTTCTCACTGGCAGTCTCTCGCTATCACGGGCACACTGACAGGGGTGGCCGAGGCACACGCCGAGGGTGGCACAGGGGCGGTGATAGGAGTCTCCCACTCTGTGGGCTTCGCTAGAGGTGCGGCCTACGGCTACGCATGTCCTCGTCCTTGTGGGGGAAGGGGAAGGGGCTGTGTGTCTGTGCATGCATGTGTGTGTGTGTGAGATTTTTAGCAATACCAAACAACTCTAACACTCACTTTGTTTGTTTGTGTGTGTGTGTGTGTGTGTGTGTGTGTGTGTGTGTGTTGTGCGTGTGTGCGTGTGCGTGTGCGTGTGCGTGTGCGTGTGCGTGTGCGTGTGCGTGTGCGTGTGCGTGTGCGTGTGTGCGTGTGTGTGTGTGTGCGTGTGCGTGTGCGTGTGCGTGTGCGACCCGCCCTGAACGACCAAAATGGCGAGCGCGCCCGAGCACCGAAGCGCCGCGAGCGCCGGCGAGCACCGCCGCCCGCGCCTTGGCGTGGAGCGGTAGTAGATGATGCGCCCCCCCAGCTGATTCCCTTGGTGTCGTGAGCCGACCCTTGGAGCACTTGGAGTGCAGTCAGGGCGGGATCGGAACGATTCTTTGCCCGCCTCTGGGGCCGCCGCTGCTCGGGCCCTCCCGCGCCCCAGCTCTCTCTCACAACACTACAGTAATACAGAATGGTCGTGGGCTACAAGTCCGACGCCTGCTCGGAGAAGTGGCGCGACGACCCAGTGCGCGCGGCGCTCGACAAGAAGGCGGCCAAGGAGGCGGCGCTCGCGCAAAAAGCGGCGGCGGCGCAGCAGATGCGCGCGCTGCTCAAGGAGCGGCTGGAGAAGGGCGCTGCGTCTTCGGCTATGGCGGGCGCGGACGACCCGGGCGGCGACGCTGAGGCGGTGTATAAGCGCGAGATGGAGCGGCAGCGGCAGAAAATGATGGACGAGGGATCCGTCTCGGATTCGTCCGAGAGCAGCGTATATGACCCGCTCAACGCGCGGAACGTCAACAAGCGGGACCGGCGGGAGAAGAAGCGGGAGCGAAAGGAGAAGGAGGCGAAGGAGGCGCGCAAGGAGAAGAAGCGGCGCAAGAAGGAGAAGAAGGCGCGTGCGCCTTTCGCACGCCACGGCGACGCTCCTTGCGCCAACCGCTCCACCCCTCGCCGCTCAGGAGCGCAAGAAGGAGAAGAAGGAGCGCAAGAAGGCGCGGCGGCGCGAGGAGGGCGGCGGGGAGGAGGAGCGGGGCGGGAAGAAGAGACGAAGGTCCTCCTCTTCCTCAGAGTCGAGCGGCTCGTAGGGGGTAAGAGCAGGTAGTACTTCGTCCAGCGGCCGGAGGCGAGAGCACCGCGACGAGCGTCCTCTTATGTGACGGGCGCGGGGCGTGCGGCCCTTAGCCATGCAGAGCAGCCGAGGCAGGCTGTGGCTGAGGGCCGCACGCCCCTCACGCCCGCGGCCGCGGGGCGCTGGGGGCCGCCGCCCCTCCGCCGCGGCGGGCGGCGCAGGAAGGAGGAAGCCGCGCCCGCCGAGTATCGTTTGCGTCTCCATCCCGAAGCTGTGTGTGTCCTCTCTTTTCTCTTATCACAACGACACTGATCCGTGATCCCAGAAGAGAGGCAGGAAAGACGAGAGATCGAGAGAAAGTCAATCGAGTGCCCAAAACGCAGAGACGCCGCGGTGTGCGCCGTGCGGGGCAAACGAGCGCGGCACGAGCTAGAGGGCTCCGCGGGGGCCGCCCCGTGCCGCCAGCGGCAGTGGCTCCTCAGAATGGGTAAAACGGGACGGAGCCGGGGATGGCCTCGGCGCAGGCAAAGGAGATGATGCCAATCATGGCGAGGCGGCCGTTCTTGAGCTCGGCGAGTTGGATCTGCCGCGCGGAGGGGGGCGGGGAGGTTCGCGGGGGGCTGAGCGTAACAACGGGCACGGGTGAGGACGCAGCGCTTTGTGTGACGGCCAGAGAGTGCGCCGAAGGGAGAGGTGCGGGTGTGTTTGAGGAAGGAAGGGGAGGGGGGGGGGGGTGCAGCGGCGCGCCTCCTTGAACTTTGCCGGGTCCTGGGTCACGCGCGGCACGCCGAAGTCGCCGCCGCACTCGGCGGCCGGGTACTTGTTCTCCCAGTACACCTCAAGCGCGCCGATGGCTGCAATCATCTGCCAGATGCCTGCGGCGGGCACCTTCGCGGCTCCGAGCAGCGGGCCAGCAGCGGCGACGTCGGCGAACGAGACGCCGGACGAGGTGGAGAGCATCCCCTCGAAGTGGGTGCCCGTCGCGGTCCACAACCACCCCACGGTCGCCAGCATCGCCACGCGGCAGTGCTTGAGCTCCGCCGCGCGCACCAGCTTCAAGTTGGACTCGTCCATGTTCTCGGAGAGCTTGAGCGGGTCCCACACCTTGTTGGACACCTCGGTGGACGCGCCGACCCTGAGGAGGCGCCGGCGACGCGTGGGCGCGACCCAGGCTTCGCGGCGGCAAAGCAGCAGCCCGAAAGCGGGCGGCGAATCCCGTGCGGCGTGACGGGGCCGGGGCCGGGGCGGGCGGTGGTGCGGCGCACAGGTCGGTGACGGCGAGCATGGACGGCGAGGCCGACCGGACCGCAGACCGGGGCGCCAGCGGCGCGGCGAAGCCGCACGCGGTCGGAGAGGCGAGCGAGAGCATGGTGCAGATCCCGACGCAAATTGTGACGGCAAGAAAAAGACCGGGCCGCGTGAGGGGCAGCAGAAATCGCGTCGCGCCTATCAGAACCTGAACAGTAGTGGGGCGGCAGTGGACGCGGTGCTCTTCTTCCCGGCCGGGACACTCGCCTTTGGAGAAGCGGCGGGGTGGGCCAACGCCACGGAGTCGGTTTACGCGAACACCCACCCACGCTTGCCGCTTGGGCAGGGGGTGAGGAGGACCCCCTCCGCCCGCCGAGATGCCGTCAACCGGGAGTGCTCCGCCGCCACGCCCGACTGATGAACCCTCGACACGTCAGAGTGCTCCTATTTGCGCCGACGCGCAATCATCGAGTTTTTGAGTCAATAATTATGAAAGGAAAGGGAGAGGGAGAGTTCTAGCTCAGCCAATTGATTCAGCGTGCTCTGAAACGCCCAAAACCGTCGAGTTTTTCGCCGTGGTCCAAACAGAGAGCTTAATATTTTGATTTTCTTGGCCACGGCCACGATTACCCGTCACTCGCTCCAACAGAGTCGCGCTTGGCGCGATGGTCTTGTCGGAGAGATACGGGGAGAGTCTATATACAGGGAGAAATCGGGGAGATACCGCAAAAGGTGACAGGAGGTCTAGCCACCGTGTAGCTCAAGGTGCTCGAGTAAGGCAACTTGTCCACTATAGCGCTACCTGAACGCGTCCTCTCCGCCGCCCCTGGGACCAGTACCAGCAGCGAGGGTAGAACTCTTGCAAGCGCGCCTCGAGACAAGTGTCGACGAAAACAACTCACTCGGCAGGGGGCCTCGTCGACGGGTCAACCAGGAGGCGCTTCGTCTCGAGAGACATAGGCGCGATGCCCCAGATCTCTGGGAGCACGCCGTGGGCGGCCTTCTTGTCGATCGCATCGAAGAAGAGGTCGAGGTGTACGTGCCTCGCCTGTTCTGTGAGAGAGGGAAACTTGACAGCCTTGGCAGCCAGGACGGACACCGCAAAGTCGGCGCCAAGGGTGATCCGGATCGACTCCGCCGAGGCATTGCCAATCTTCTTGACCGTGTCCCGCTGTGCGGCCACGCTGAGCCCGTCCACGGTGGCATTTCCGAGGCTCCCCATCGTGCGGCCCGCGATGGACACGTTCAGCAGGTGGAGCGAGCTATCGATGGGCATCGCGGGGGCCAAGGGCGCCGCCCGGTTCAGATTGACGCTGACTGCCGTCTTGCTCGCGCGGACGACACGCATAGAGTGGATCCAGTCGCCCACCTTTTGGTCGGCGCCAGGCGTTGGACCGGCGGTCGCGAGAATTTCGACGTCGCCTTGCGCAAAGAGCTTGACCTCTTGGCCCGCCGGAAGCCAGTAGCGCGTCTCTACGCCCTCGAATCGTGTCAGGGGGTCGCCGCCCCCGAAGGGGTTGGGCGGGGGCACCAGCATGCAGGGGCCGTTTGCCTCTGGTGGGCAGCCGGTCTGGCAGCCGCACAAATCGATCGGTGCCTCACCGCACTCACAGCCAGCAATGAAAGAGCAGCTGCAAACCTCAAGGCTCACTGGGCAATCCATCTCACAGGCTGGCATCGCGGGGCAGAGCTTCGCGCAGCCAGTAGCTTCCTCGTAGAACTTTAACTCGCCGTTGCACATATAGGGCGCCCAGGTGTCACAGGACGCCCCAAGGATGATCTGAGCCATGGTCGCCGGGACGAGGGCAACACTCATGCTGCTGGTGTGCGTCCCGACCGCGCCGGATTGGATTGACTCGAAATATGTTGCGCGAATTCGCCGCCGGACTGCAAAATCTTTTACGTCAGAACGGCGGCGGCGGCGGGGCGTGCGCGTCTCGAGGAGGTCGAGAGATTCTCGAGGTTGATATCCTTTGGCCGCGTTGGGTAGCGAGGATTGGTGTGACGCGGTCCACATTATTTTGGACAAAAACACAAAATCTCTCTCTATTTTGCTTTTTGGTGTTTTCTGACAGCCGACCGTCACGATCACACACACAGAGTTGCCCCTTCTCCGACTGCCCCGGCTACCTAGCTAGTAGCCAATTCCCGGGTTGGACTGTCTGTCCGTGGGGGGGAGGGATTCGAGCCCCGGAGCGGGAGGGTTGATACTCGGGCACGACCTGCTCCTCTATCTCGCGCAAACAAAATACCTGGACCGAGTGGCACACTAATACACAGACAGGGAAGGCTTGCTGCTGTGCTGCTGCTTGTCACCCCGACCGACCGAGCTCGATTCGCGCCGAAAGCGGATTCTTGGTCTCGGGATCTCTATCTCCGCCGGCCTTGCCTTCCCTGCCAGACCTTGCTTGTTATATTGAGCGAGTTTGAAGTTTCGTGCGTAAACCCGTCCACAAAAATGTCGTCTGATGTGTCACTGTGTACGTCATATCAGTCTTGATAACAAGTACGGTCGACCCGAACCGGCTGCCAGACCAGGCGGCTTGGCCGGGGCTTGAGTGGGTGTGCCGTGTGGACGCGAGAATAGCTCCACCGTGTTGTGTGATTATCCCATGTGGTGTTGTTGTTTGTTGCGGAAGTGCGTGTGTACTGTGTGTTTTACCATTTCGTGTGTTAATAAAAAGGATAGCCGCGCGGTTTAGACGTGCCCAGCCTGGGATTGTGGACATAGCAGCATTGAGGTGCCGGGAGCAAGATCAGCCACCTTGGCCGAGCGCCACGCAACCTTGATCACCGCTTTCGAGAGGCCTTTGATGCCCATCCCTGCTCTAGCGGAAATTTTCTGTATATCGTGAATGATCGCCGAGTATCGCCTAACATCGCGCAATATCGCGCAATATCGCGCAATATTGCGCAATATCGCGCAATATCGCGCAATATCGCGCAATATCGCGCACCCTCGCCCCGGCGGCGGTGACGGTGACGGTCCGAGCATTTCTTTGTTTTCCGGTCGCGCTTTCCCTTAGGGTACCCCTAGGCTTAAAAGGGTGGGCCCTGGGGCGCCTGCGGCTTAAACGGCTTAAAACCTGCCATGGCAGGTTTTAAGAGCTGCTGGGCCGCCGATTCCTTAAACGGTCTTAACGCTTAAACGGTGCGGGAGAGCTCCCGAGGTCGATGGTCCGGGAGGCTCCCCGGTAGACGCCGGAGGCCGGGAAGCTGGCTACAGCCAGCTGGCACGCGTCCCCTATGCGAGTATGGCTCCCGCCAGTGCACCAGACTTACAGATGTGTCTTCAGTGGCGGGTTCGTGCCTAATAAGTTAACGGCAGTATTGGAGAAACCGGCGCGGAACCCGGCGACGCATGCCGGCGAGGCCGATTTTCTTAAACGGACTTAAAAGAGGGACCCCCCGTGCCTGCAATCTCTTAAATGACAATTTGAGCCCCCAAACCTCCTCATTTCTTAAAAGGTCTTAAAACAATCCGGCCCTCAGAACCCTAGGGGTACCCTAAGCGCTTTCCCGCCGCCCACCCGCACCTCTCTCGCACTTTCGGCGCCCAGGACTGACACGTGTAACGCTTCACGCGCGTCGCTGAGGCGTGCTGTGAAGGGCTCGCGTGATCGCGAGCATCGCACAACATCGCCATTTATCGCATTTTATCGCCAAATATCGCGCGGTATCGCGGTTGCGATATTGTGAAAAATTTTCGCTAGGGCAGGGCTATCGTGCCATGCCTGCTCGCCCCTTGTACCAAGGACGACGCATGCCGAGAGGCTCGAATAGGGGGTGCACAGCGCCCCAAAATCCACCACTGTGGGATTTCGCGCAATCGCTTGACTCGGAAAAGCTCGCATGTACCTCCTGCGAGCGCTGTGATCGCCGCAGACTGGCTCCGACTTGACGGCGGCATGGAGACGTGATGCCTCCATGCCGCCGTCAAGTCGAAATCGACATGCGAGTCGATCTTTGGCCCGCCAGAGGTACATGCGGCGTTTGGCGACAAAACAGCACTGCGACCGCGAAGTGGCGGTGGACATGCTCCCATGTTGCCGACGCGGCGCCGGAGTGGCCGGCGCTGCTCGCCGCGACCACGACGGCTACTCTGATGCTCCGGGCCGACCCGTCCTACCCGACGGTGGCACTCTTCCACGTCTCGCTCACGCTGAGAAAAATCTGAAACGGCGTGCAGCAGAGTCGCCGACGAGTCGGTCCGCGTGACTCCTCGTGTCCCGTACCGTTCTCACACATCCATAAACTCACTTTGGCCCCACTGAAGCGATGCCTGAATCCTGAATCCTCTCAGATTTTAGATTGGGACGCTGTGCACCCCCTAGCTCGAAAAGCTAATAAGCTACGGCTGTATTGGGGTGCGCACCGCAGAAAATGAGTTGACAGAAATTTATCTGCTTGCACTGAAAACAGTAAAAGCAAAACGAGAGACGGTTCCATCGCTGCTGTGCGTGTGCCAGGTTACGACGCAGTCGAGTCACGCCGCGCCGCTCGCACGACACTCGAGCGGTCTTCCTCAACTTCCTCAGAACCCTCCGGCTCCCCCTCCTCCACCTCCCCCTCCTCCACCTCCCCCTCCGAGCTCGAGGCGGTGCCGAGCTCGGGGTCGTCGCCTCGGCTCCCCGTGCCGTCGGCCGAACGGCCGTCGGCGGCATCGGCGTCGGCGAGCTGCTCGCGAGCTCGTACGACCATCGCCTCCTTGTCAAAGATCTGCCGGAAGCGCGCGGGCGGCGGCGCCGCCGCGGCCGCCTCCTCGTCGCACGCAGCCTCCTCGTGCGACGCCACCGTGACGGCCTCGACCCATACGCACTCGGTCCGCGGCCCGTCCGCCGCCGACTGCCGGCGCCGGCCACCACCGCCGACGACGGCGTGCCCCGCGTCGGCCGCCGCGCTCGGCCACGGCGACGAGCGCAGCGCCGCCGACGCCGGCGGCAGCGTGAAGGCGACCTCGCTGATCGCGCCGAAGCGCACCGACTTGACGGTGCGCAGCACCCGGAGGCGCAGCGCGCGCCCGCCGGGGCCGCCGCCGCTCGCGGTCGCATCCCTGGAGGCTTGAGCACGCACAGCCACGTGTCGCTCTCCCACAGCACGGGCACGGCCCCGAGCGCGGCGGCGTCCTCCACGGAGACCACCCTCTGCGCGCCGAGCGGCCGCACCACCACGCGCTCGCCCACCGCCACACGCTCACGCCAATTGAGGGGCGCCTTCGGCCGCGACGCGACGCACACGAGTCCATGGCGCACCGTGCGCTTCGCGACCGACTGCGTTGGGATGAGAGCCGGCCACACGCGGACGAGGAGCTCGGAGACCGTCAGCGCGCCCAGCCGCTCGCACACGCGCACCGCGCAGCACGTCGCCGACGTCGACGGCGCGTGCGCCCCGGCCGCCGCCGCGCCGGCCGTCGCGGTCGCGGGCGCGCCGTCGGCGTCGGCGTCGGCGTCGGCGTCGGCGTCGGCGTCGGCGTCGGCGGGCGCGGACGACGCGCGCCCCGCCGTCGGCGCGCCGGCCGCCGCACCGACCGCCGCTGCCACCGAGGCCGGCGCCGCCGCCGCCGCCGGCCGCGCCGCCGGTCGGACGAGCGTCACGGCGGAGACCGGAAAGCCGCCGACGACGAGCGGCATCGTTCGGAGCGGCGCGAGGCCGGTGTCGAGTCGCGCGAGGCGGGCGGCCTCGGAGCGCGGCAGGAGGATGAGGAGGGTGCCGCCGGCGCGCAGCACGCGGCCGCACTCGCCCACCGCCTCGGCCAGCAGCGCGTGGCTCGCCTTGTGCCGGTTGCCCCACGGAAAGTCCATGATCACGGCGTCGATGCAGCCGGCGCGCAGCGGCAGCCGGCGCACGTCCCATCGCGCGACCTCCATTCGCGAGGCGCCAGCGGCGGCGCGGCCGTCGCGGCCGCCACGGCCGTCGCGTCGCGCCTTACACTGGTGCGCGCACTCGCGCCGCACGTCGCCGGCGAGCGCGTACCGGCACCCGCCGAGCCGCACCGCCGCCGCCGGCAGCGCTCCGCCGCCCGCCATCGGGTCGATCACGATCTGGTCAGGCGAGATCGCGGCGGCGTGGAGCAGGCCGCAGCAGACGCTCGGGCGCAGCTCCGTGCCGCCCCGCTCGCCCGCCGCGTACTCGGCCGGCCAGAAGCGCAGCGGCTCCTTGCTAGCCACCCAGCCTGCCGTCAGCGGCAGTCCGCACAGCGCAAACGAGCCCGTCCACACGGCGATCACCTCGATGTCCCACGCCGTCATGCTCACGCGCCAGCCCCAGCGCCGCCAGACGCCGGCCCCGGCCGCACGCGCGATCTCGTTCGTCTTCGGCGGCCGCTCGAGCCCGTCCTCGCGCAGCGCCGTCGCGCGGAACGCGCGCGGCGCCTCCGTCTTGCCGCCGCACCGCCGCCAGATGGCGAGCGCGCCGTCCCAGCGGTCGCTGTGCTCGAGCGCCTCGCCGAGCGCCGGCAGCTCGTCGGACGCGCAGCAGGTCAGCAGCGCCATCACGGCGATCACCGGCGGACCTCCGGTCCCCAGGGCCATCTCCGTCACCCGCGGGCCGTCCGGCAGCAGCACAAAGTCGACGCCGGCCTCGCCGCCATGGCTCGAGCCGGCCAGGACCGCGCCGTCGGCGCCGCCGTCCAGAAGGTCTTTGAACGTGGCGCCGAGGCCACCGGGCACCACCACCGCGACGCCGTGCGCACGCGTCGGCCGCGGCGCGTCCGCGTCGTCGGCCATAGGTCATGCATCATGGAGGCAACCGATGCGAGCATTGGTGTGTGTCGTCGTGGTTTCGTGTCAGAATACTCACTCACTGAAACGAGTGCCTGTGATCTGTGATCTGTAAGGGTCCGCCCGCAGGCGCATTTTGTATACCGAGGCGGTGCCCGGTGCCGAACCTGTCGGACCTTAAGACAGCATTGTAGATCCCTGGGCGAGGGTGGTGGAGAGGGCGGCCCGTCGGCGCCAAACCACCTCCCACCGAGGCGGGCAGGTTCCACGCGTTCCCGGACCGCCCCGTTGGAGGTAGACCGCTCGTCTAGCCAATCAGCCTTAAGCGAGCGATCTGGCCGTTGGAATGGCCGAGGTTGGTGGACTTGCGTCCTCGCATCGATCATGGTTTTACGAGCATTGTTAAGTTCCACTACGATCTCTGAACACTGGGCGAGGGACCTTCTTAGTTGTCCGGGCCTGCTTTGCAGGCTCGGCCGTTCAGAAATTTTCCCTCACCCCTCCTCCTCTTCGCCTCTTGCTGCGGTCTTTCTCGTATGACTTTTGATCCCCCGATTTTCTTGCCGATCCCTCCATTCGTTTGCGTAGGCGCTGCTTCTGGGCTTTCGTCACCGGCTCTCCATCCTCTCCATGCTGTTTGCTCGCCCCCTCTCCCTGACTCATCGAATCGCTACGTTCATTCTCAAAGCGCCCTCGCTTCCTCGGCGGCTGGGGCGCCTCGTCCTCTGGCTGTTCCTCTTCTACGTCCATCACTGTGAATTCGTCGTCTGTCTGGCTGCCATCGTTCGGATGGCCCGTTTCGTGTGGCTGCTCGCCCGGTCCTGGCTTTGCTGCGCGGTCGGGTGTCTCCTCGTCGTCGCTCCTTGCGCCATCGTCGCTGTCGTCGTTGTCTTGGCTGGTGGGGTGTTCCCTGGTTTCACCCCCGCTGTGCCCGAGAAGCAGCTCGAGCCTCAGTCGGTCCATGAACTGTTGGGCCGCGCGGCGGTTGTGGCGTCCTCGTCTTGGACTTCTCGTAGTACTCTGGCTGCCCTGGCTGTTCTGGCTCCCTTCGCTCTCGCCCCCCTGACTCTGCTGGCTGTACTGACTCTGTTGGCTGTACTGACTCTGGCTCCCCCCGCCCTCCGCCCCTTCCTCCGTTGCTGCGTCGGGGAGCTCGAAGAACTCATCGTCGATAAAGGCCATTTCGTCGTCCGCCGAGGCGTTCTCGTCTTTCTCGTCGTCTCCCTCGTCGTCGTACGTCTCACTCACTGGCGGCTCGCTCTCCATCGGGTTCGTCGTCCCGCCTTCGGGCGTTGGGCCGTGGACTGCCTTGTCGTGCTCTGCCGTGTTCCACGGCTCGACCCCAGCTCCCTGCGCCTCGCGCACCGCGTCGAGGGTCCGCTGTGACACTTGCCTCTCGTGCCCGTGCCGAAACCGCAGTAGACTGAGGTGCCCGATCTGGTATGCCGTTGTGCCTTTGAGGGCTCGCGGGCCTCTCGGCACCCCTTTGTCTGCCCTCGGCTTGCGTGGCTTTGGGGCGTCTCCACGTTGCTGCCCCTCTCTGCGCCGCTCGTCTCGTACGCCGATGAGCTCTCGCGCCATGGCTGCGAGGCTGTCCCCGTGGCACAGCCTCCCCTCTCGACACGAGGGCGAGCATCCGAGCCGCACCACCTTGGCGTTGCCGCGGCCGTTCAGCGCGGCCCGCATCGCCACGACGGCGTCGTTCCCCGTCCTAGCTTCGTCGGAGCGTCGAGGGGCGATCTCCTGTGAGAAGGGCTGCCCGTTGGCCTGTCGGATGAGCGCTGGCGTGGATCTAGTGTCCCACACGGCCGAGGCGGGAACGGTGCGCAGCCGGAGCCACGTGTCGAATGCCTCGCATACCTGGTCGCGCAGCGCCTCGTCGGTGCCTCTCTTCCCCATGGGGAATGGGTTGCCGAGCCCGGTGCCTCTCATGATGTTGACTGGCAAGGGGCGCGGGACTGTGTCCGCTCCCGTGTCGCGCGTCTCCGCTCGTCGGCTTCCGGCGACGACCACCCTGATCGAAGGCTCGGCGTCCCCCCTGTCCGCCGCTGTGTGCGCCCCCGCTCGTGTCGCGCCTCGGGCTGGCGATCCTCGGGGGGGGGCTTGGCTGCTTCGCCTTGCGTGTGTCGCTGCTGTCGAGTTCTTTGTGCTCTTTTGCTCATGACAGGCCCCTATCCAGTCAAACCGGAACTATTCGTCTGAGACACACATCACAGGGTGCCAGAACAATCAGCCCCCCCCTCCTGCCTCCCCAGCACAAATGCGCACTTTCCGCCTCACATGCCATGCAGCGCGCCCTCGCTCATCCGCCACGGTGTGCAACGGAATGATGACGTGCTCCTCTGGAGACTACTTCCCTTGCAGGGTGGGTGGGGGTGGGAGAGCTGCGTCTGCGTCCGGGCCTCAAGCCACCTTCTTCTCCGGGGCCTCCGACTCGCGGCCGGTGATAGTCTGTCCGGTTATCCACGACGGCACCTGCCGAAAGAGGTCCGCGGGTGATCCGCAAGGGCCGGCAGGCGCGCGGTCGGCGGCGGCGGCGGCGCGCCCATTTCATCTGAAAGCCAAAGAGGAAGAGCAGAGTGGGGTGGTAGACGAGCTGGATGTAGGCGAGCCGCGCGGGAAGCACCGTCTCGGACGCAAACACGAGCGCGGCGTGCAGCACGCAGCTAGCAAACTGGGCGAGCTGGAAGTTCGTGAGCTGGCTCTTGAGCGGGTTGTGGAGACCGAGCGAGGTGACGAGGTAGTGCGTGTACCTGCGAAGCAGGTGCGCCTCTCCCCTCAGCCGCCTCCGAGCTGCTCCCGGGCCGCCTCGCGTCTGGGGCACACCACGCACATCAACACGTGCGTCACGCTGTTGATGAAGGCGCCCCAGACGCAGGTGCCGCCGCCCCACCCCTTGCGCAGCAGCGCCCCCCAGATCATGCCCACGGTGGCGTGGTGGAACACCTGCAGAAAGGACACCTGCCGAAAGCTCTTGCTCCCTGCAAACACGTCGTGGACGCGTCAACGGCGTGTCGCGCGACGTTCCGTGAATGCTGGCGTGGCGGTGCAGGTGAATGTGGAGCTGGAGCCCCGTCGAGCACAGCGGTGGGTTTCGCGGGAGTTTGTAGCGAGCGGTAGAGCGTCTCTCACCAATCATGAGGAAGGTGTCGGTCCAGTCCACAAACTTGCTCAAGTAGTGCACAAACATGAACCACTCGGTCTTCTTGTCGCGCTCCGTGTTCATCGCAAACGGGTTGAGGCCGAGCACGTCCACCTTGGGCGCGAGCCCCCACACCATGTAGGAGCACATGACAATTTGAAAGACGTTGTAGACAGGCTGGACATACTGCTTTAGGAACGGCTTGATGGATGCGCGCTGCGACATGAGGCGGCACCCCGCCATGACCGCGCACACGTAAGCCAGCGGCGCGATGTACACCATCGGCCAGGAGAGCAGGGCACCCATCACCGCCGAGTCGTGGTAGATCGTGCCCGGCGAGTCCAGAGGCTGCAGGGCGTAGCACATTGCGGCCGTGAAGGAACCCACGATGACGGCTACCCTGCCAAGGCCCGCACTCTGGTCGATGGTGCTGGCGGCGGCGGGCTTTGCGCCCGACGCGAGGCCGCTCGCCTTGCACATGACGGCCGCCGGCGCGGCGGCACAAGGTTGTCGGCCGATTTGGGGGGGATTCTAGTTTGCATGAATCTCCGCAGTGTTTTCTTTTATTCAGGCACCTTACAGTTCTCGGCGACCCTCACTTCTCCTGGGAGGGAATCCAGGCTCACAGAAAACGGCTTTTCGATCGCAATTCCTGTGTCGACGT